GGTAAAAACAAAAAAGTTTCCTATGGTAAACCTAATACACAGAAAAGCCCCGTGGTTTCAAAATGTATAATATGACACCTCATACTTTAAATTAAATTGTAAAAGTAACGGAATTCGTTAAACTTAACGAAAATGACTTATGGGAATCTAAAAAAAAATTTATATCTAATTTTTAACAAATATACCTGTTCTATTCCTTAACCCTCAATTCTCTCTATCTAAAAAATAAAACAAATGATTTTTTTGAGCTGTCTTTTGCTTAATTATATCAGGACATTTTGGGCATTTTGTCTATTTCCGTAAAATTTAACGGATTCCGTCACCTTTACAATTTAGTTCAAAGTATGGGGTGTTGTGTTGTACGTTTTGAGACCAAGGGAGACTTTACAATATTAGGTTTACCACGATGTGCTTTTTTGTTTTTTACCCATCATTTTTTTATCTTCGTAATTATCTTTTTTACTCACATACATCATATTAAAAAAGTGTTACATTAATTATTTCGAATAATATTTCGATAATCTCCTCTCCAAACGCAGAAATTGTTTGGTGGAATAAGTCGTACTGGGCCAGCTCATAGACGGGCCCAGCAAGCTGATTCTCTGATTGCCCAAAGTTCTGAAGATCTACGCCTCTGTTTCAGCACTTGCGATGGATGATAAGAATTCAATCTTTTACTATAAAATGAAAAAAGCAGCAGACTATACAAAATAAAATAAAATAACGGTTTTTCTATCAAACGCTGGTTAACACATTTAATATTTATTTAACTTATTATATATATACATATGCTAACAATTATTATCATCTTTTGCATTTATATATTTTTCTTATTTAATTTTAACTACCCTCCCTTATATTTATGTACTTTTCTTAATTAATCTTATATTTTTAAAAATATAACACGTAAAATATATCTTAACGCGTAGCCTATGATCATCCATTAGACAAACAGATATAAAAAAGGGTTATCAGTTACCCCTGCCAAAAGAAATGCCTCGGAATCCAACTATGGGTAGAGATTTTCAGGCAAGTATTTCCACTTCCACGTTTAGGTATTCCGATCCTCTAGTGCCTAGATTTCAAGCCACATCTGTACTTTTATATAACCTCTTCTTTCCAAGGTTTTTGTCTTGGGGCACATAAAAGAAGTTTGACCTCGATGTTAATTGATTTAGAGAGCTCTGCAAATATATTTAGATTTCACTGCATACAAATTAGGGGTGAAATAGATACTCCCTCCGTCCCATTCATTTGATTATGTTTGGGAAATCTAATTTTTTAAGAATAACCTAACTCAAAGAGGCATATCAGAACCTGATGTTCATGAATTCAAACAAAATACAACGGAGAAAGGAAACTTGATATGATCTGCGCACAATACCTGCATCAAATGAGTCACTTCAAACAAAGTAAGGAAAACACGTGCGGAAGCAAAAAAAAAAAAAAAAAGAAGTCAACGACTATGCAAGCCGCCGGTCGGTACATTTGTTACAATTTCAGACCAAATGTTAACTGGCATCTCTAGTGTAGTTGGCCACTATATGTCTTTGTGGGATGGGAGATCAAAAGTTTATATATATATATATATATATATATATATATATATATATATTTTTCACTTAAGAGTATCCCAACCTTTCGATCAAACTAATCTCAAAAGATTATGTAGAGTCTTGCTTTAAGGATACACAACGAGGTAACACACGGGAGTCGATCACAAGAACTGCTAATAACTACCAAGTTACAAAATTAGTTGGACTACTCGCGAGGGACTAAGGGTTCATACCTTACCTCCCATCAAAAGTTGTCACTTGACTTCTCTTAGATCCATATGGGTGCCCCTTGCACTTGTACGATCTGATAGTGGTTCAATCCTGTCGTTCCCTGTAATCCTGTTGGGTCACCCTCTTAGTATAGATTAGAATAGAAGTAGAAATAGGTGTAAATAGTGACAATAGATTAAGAAAAAAAAAAAATTAACCCGCATCTTGCTGGAGAATGAACGGGTGAGATCGGTTCAAAGTACTAAACTCGCAGGTTTAAGCAAAATCGACTTCTACTGTCGTTTCTAAAGATTTCTACTACATTTTAGATCAAGCCTGAGCGAAATAATGAGAGCTGACAAGCAAGTCCTAATGGAATTTTTGCTAATCGAAATATCACTAGATTAAAATTTTCATGTTCCATGAGTGTTGTTATTTGTCCAACGAACTACTCAAAAGTGAAACCCCGTTAGGGTGACTAATCGACCAAGAAAAATCGGAAGGCACACTAACAGCAAAATTTCCCAAGACCATAATCATGTTATCTCAACCACTAGGCAATTACAAAGTTTCGAATTTGTACAGGTGAACCAAGACATATATACGTACCTTTTAAAATATATATATATATATATATATATGGTATGCCCAATCTGTGATGCAGCCTTGCAATTGTAGGTTTTTTTGTTCATATCGTAACGATCGAGGATCACAATATTGGATAATTTTGATATTGTTATTTTGCGACCTATTCTATGTTCTTCTTGTTTTATGTCTTTCTTTAATTTTTATGATATGATCTGTTATTTGATTAATGGCATGATTTTTGTGTTAAAAATCTAAAATTACTACCTTTATATTAGTTACGGTATTCCACCTTGATTTAAGATGGAGTAACTAACCCATTTTCCATATTGTGTAAATTTATTTTTTTTGGAGTATTAGGAGTTACTTTTGGACTCGACAATCAACCCTTAACCTTCTAAGAGTCCTTTTTCAGTTAATGACGGGTCCGTTGGAATTAGCTGTTTTTTTGGAGTGTTTTTGAAAATTTTAGTGTAGCAGAGTTTTTATAGTATATTTTAGAAAATATTTTGGGATATTTAAGAGTAGAAGAGTTTTTTGAATATATTTTGAAATATTAGAAAAAAAATTAGACTATTTTTTAGAATACTTTTTAATAATTTTAATAATATTTAAAAAATTAATTTTTGAAAAATTCTTGAATCCAAATAAAGCCGACATTTTAATAAAGGAAAAAAAGATTAAAAATATACTCATTTACTAAAATTTAAAGTCGTTATATATGGGAGAGGGATAAGTTAAGTAGTAGAGGAGGAGAGAATGTAACTAAAAGATTTCAGATTTAAAACTTGTCACTTACACTAAAAAAAATTAAATTTTTTTAAATCATTGTATATGGCTTTTAGTATAGTCTGATCATATAGACAAGGTGGCGGGTCGGGCGGCCTAAACCTTGTCGGCTTTGAATTGTCAAAGGATGTGCAACCCTTGACCTAACGGTTGGCATAAAGCGATGCCCAATCATGTCGGGTCAAACATTTAAGAGCCACCTCAGTCGGCAAGACAAATTAAGTTGAGTTTTCAAGTAACCTTGTTCGCTCAGCATTTTTTATAAAAAATATTAGGGATTAATTTTTATATCTTATTAATGTAAAGATATTTTTCAAGTAACTTGTTCGCTCAGCATTTTTTTTATCTGAAATATTAGGGATTAATTTTTATATATTATTAGCATAAAGATATTTTTTATACGAGCGAATTTAGATAAACGTCCCATAATTTCTATTCGAATTTTGAATTCATCTTTTACCCATATGTCATATATCTACACCTATTAGTGTAAAACAAAAGTGCGTAACATTAATCCAGAATATTATGCAATTTTCATTCAACCAAACTGACCAGCTAGAATGGCTGATGATATAGAAGAAGGTGATCACTCCACCAAAATTTAAAATCTAGCAAATTGAGTAAGCTAATGTGCTATCCCGTAACAACACCTTTTACCCAAATATATATATATATATATATATTGTTGAATGAAATAAAGGCAAAACTTGATGAATATCATATAGTAGAGGACCTAAATGAGAAAGGTCATCCCTAGGAGTAAGGTTTTGAGGGTTAAATCACCAAAATTAGTAGTTGTTTCAAATCATTTTCTAAATTCCTCTTCTTTTTGCCCTAATTAGATACTAGTATTTAGCTGTCTATTGCATGTACAGAACAAGGATAAGATGGCAAAAGAAAGAAAGGCATTGGCGGGTGGGATTTTGTAGGCGCATTTGAGAGAGAAGGGCTGTCGGCCGCGGTGTTGCTATCTTTCCTCAGGAGTGCGTGCAGATTATTTGCAAGGGAAAAGGGCTATAGCCTATAGGCGATGGTGCTGGTTAGTTTGTCTGTCTTGTGAAGAGAAAATGATGCAGTAATTCTCGTACTTGCTGCTACTTAGAGTTAATTATATATTTACCTACCATGTTGTTTAATTAGTCAAACCAATCTTGAGATTTGAATTAATTCAAAGGTTTTTTTTAATCGGTGTTTATTGAACATTTGTTAATTCACCTAAATTTCATTTAATATATCATATCTATACATATATTAGCAATATTACCCTCATTTACATTTATACATTTTTTAAAACTAATCTTATCTTTTCAAAAAAATCTAACACTTGAAATACACCACAACGACAGATCCTTAATTGGGAACAGAAAATTCAAAACTGAGACCATTTGAAATTGACTAAAATATTAAATCCATTCAAATCAAATCCTTCACCACATACAAATCCATCAATTTAACTTGATCCAAGTCTTGTTACTTGTTTTGCACGATTTCTCGCACCTGCTGATTATGGTGCAATACGCAGTATCGAACATGCATTTATGTTTAACTCTCTCCGACCACTGAGATAAATCCACAAGAGAAGCAGTAAAAGAATTATAGGGTAAAATCTCAAGATAGACGAGAAGACATGCATATGAATGATTAATAAAAGTTCAATTTTGCTCAAAAAGGACGTGCATACGAAAATCGACAAGCATTAACCGAAGAGGTGCTGATAAATTAAGGAAAGAAAAAGAAGAAACTGAAGCAGTCAATACAAAACTTTTCGTGCATAATAGAGAATGCAGAAGGCAATTTAAGTATTTAATACACCTAAGAGGTTACCTCAAACCATTGTGGTAAAGTTGACGGTTCCCAATTGGTAAAACCTCCAGTTTTGCCCCATGTAAAGGTAAAATATCGAGACAAAGAATAAAAGATAGTCAAAAAAAAAAAAACATCTAAGAATCTTTTCTTTTTATTTAAATGTATTAATCCCTAACCTGCAAACTTAGAATAAAATCAACGGCTTCATATAATCTTCCAACTTCAATCATTTCGCCCACAACATCTATTGACATTTTTGATTGCGGGAGTAAAGCCTGAATTAAGCAAGAAAAAATGGTATAATTTCTGACAATTTCACTGAGTTCTCCTGAGATTTGAAAAATTACACATACCTCCGTAGAATAAGTAGCCATTATACTATGTAATATACAACTAAACAATCATTTAGATAGACAGCCATTATTGTTTTCTTTTTTTTTTTTTTTTGGGAAAGAACATAAAATACCTTCAGTGCCTCAGCAGTAGAGTCAGAAACTTGCCAACCATGATCTCTATCAGCCAGCATCCAAGCACCTTTACATGGGTGACGATACGTGCTGTGGAAATTGCCCGATGGATTTTCTCGTATCTTTTTTTTTTTCAGATATTAGATACAACAAAAATACCACAAAAAAAAACATTTATTGCTCGAAAAAGATTGAAATGAAGAGTAGAAACATAAAGAAAAAGCATAATATTTGACACGTACTTAGTTTGTGGTTTTCCAAGTGAAAAAGGAGGGATTGATCTCGTATCATAGTCAAATATTGAATTTTTCACATCAACATGTCTAAATTTGTGTCACAACTATAAGGACTTTTGAACAATAATACCAATTTGTGTAAAATCTATACATGTCGTTTAAAAATTACATTAAATTAATAATGGATGAATCAGTCAAGAAAGAGACCTGAGTTAAAGCCTTGAGGAGCGGAAGTGATACTTGGGATTTTTTGATGAATTGATGTGCCTTTTTCAAAGTTGTGCCAAATTCATCTACTAGGTCACTTGCAATAATTGCTTGGGTGATAAAAACAGTGTCCCATAATTGGCTACCCTTACTCTGCATTTGATAAGAGTACTATATTTCAATTAGATAATCTAAATTTCAAGAACGTTCTTTTTTAATTTGCATTCAATAAGCGGTAGATAAGTTAATGATATGCTAAAATTTGGATTTTTCCCATAGATATATGCTCTAGTGAAATGTAGAGTTGTCTGGGTGCATATTGAACAGATGGTTATAAATGTAAGACCATTTAGAGTTGAGTACTTAAACCTGCATTTTCATCCCATCTTCAGCAACCCACAAGTAATCAGGAACTCGGGCAAGATGATATTTGAAAGAAGTTGAGAATTCTGCCCAGTAGGCCATCATGTGGAGTACCTGTTTAAACAAGCAAGCAAAGACTAGACAATTCATCTTATTGTTTATATCTTACCCTTTTGCCAGAAAATTTATCAATGAAAATTTCTCGAATTAATCAATCTCGAATTAAGTGTTTTGTATACCCAAAACCTAATTTTGCTGGTAGGAACATTAGTTTGGTGATCATGAGATTTTTAATTCGACTGTTAAATCCTTCTCTTTTCTTCTTTCACTTGTACAGTTTGGAGTCTCCTTTCAACCACAAAAAAAAAATTTTTTTTAAAAAAAAAAAGAAAAGGAAAAAGGACTGGTGAGATCGTCCTGCATTTGAGAATTGTCACATTTCATGTCTTGTTCAGTTGCATGCAAAATAATTCAAAAGGACAACTTAATCAGGAGCTTGAGGAAACAGACAAGGCATCTAAAATCCCAAATCAAATCTCGAATGTCGTGTTGCATTCCAATTGATTGTATCATAAGGTTCGTTGTAGAGCTCTTTTCTCAACGATAGTGACCAGATCGATCGGTGATTGGCCCGACATATTTCCTCCCGTACAAATGCATGGGGCATATACGTTTCCCGTAAATAGCACCACAAATTTCGTATATTGAAACAAGAAAAGAAGATTGCAATTCTACGGTTTAGCAGACGTCCAAAGATCAAAATAATACTTCTATTCTATGTCATAAATAATCGTAGAGAAATTCTAATGTTAACATAAAAATGAAAACGTTGCCTATCAATCTGAGTAGTAACATGCTCAGAATATGCTTACCGGGAAAAGCGTTAGCTTTTAAATTAATCCCTCCAAAATTTTAATGCCATTAAGTTACTGATAAAGTTCTATATATATATATATATATATATATATATATATATATATAATCTTTATAACCAAAGTCATGTAAAGGTACTTGGTGATGTGGTTTGATTTGTGTAGTAGAATTCAATTTTCATTTTTTTTAAAAAAAATATAATATTATACCTCTGTTTCAAATAATGCAAGATTAAGAATTTTTATTGTGATGTGATGCGTAAAAAAAAAAAAAATTCTGTACAAGCAATTAAAAAGTCTACAATGTTTTGCCACCTTTGAAACATTGTCAAATGTACTTGATACCGCTACAATACTTGCAGTTTTGATCGGGTGGCTGATGCTGTTGATTTGACTTGATCATTAAAATGTTAATCTCAAGCTGTAGATTCAATTTTTTTGAACAATAGATTTTGCAGGAAAACAGCATATCACGCAGTTAAAAGAAGGGGAAAAATTCATACATATCCCACAAAGAAAATAGAATGGACGCAGAATATTAATTACATCAATTAGGAAGTTTTCGTCCTTAAACTGAGCTTCACAATACTTTCAGCTAGTTTGTTTTTAAAGTATTTTGCAGGCTCTGCGTTTCTTCTTCTGTTTTTTGGACTTCGGAGGCCGCAGAACCACCTTAATTGCAGCATCAAATACTGCCTTCACATTCTGCATTACACAATAGAAGACACGAACTCAGAGTTCAGGCTAACTGAAGCTTTAACTCGAACGGTAGTCATGAACAGCATGAATTCTTCTGACACATTCATTTAGGATGATGAACACAGTTGACGCTCTTTAACATGAAAATCTGATACCGCTAATAAACACTTTTCTGGGATTCATGAGATTCTTGTTACTTTTGAAAAAATGTTTCACATGTACGATTGGTATGAAGCCAAATTCTAACAATCCTGGATGCTCTATCAAAACTCTTTAGAAGTCAGAACAAAAGTTCCATGTAGCTACCATTTATTAAATTTGATCTAATTTATATGTGATGGGAGGTATTCAATTTTAGATATACAATTCAATTTCTGCAATTCCACCAGTTGGAACTAAAAGGGTTCTAACCCACTCCAAAAGCATCCCTTCAGGATGAAACTGCAGTTGTCACTGTAAACTGTAAATGGAGGTTTAGATAAAGTTTTCTTATGTATTCAGACCTCTGTTTTACAAATTAGAAACCAAAGGGGGCTTATAACCTGATAGTCATGCAGATGACAACGTCAAAACAATAATGTGGTCATTTTGAGAGGAATAGGTGTTGCACTCTCAATTCATGGTATTCACAATATCTCCAGAGCATCAGTAGAAGGATTTACCGAGGCTGATATGATTGGAAATAATTCAAAGTAACTTAATGAGCTCCTAGCTCCTTAGGATGGGCGACTCTAAGTATTACAAGAGCAGATTTTGGGGTTGGTATCTACTTCAGGAAAGAATACCAAGTAAATTCTAACACTGAATGGAACTTGAACTTTCACATCTTTCTCAACTACAATACCTCATTTCTGCAACACCCAACCCCCCCCACCAAAACCAAAGTAAATAGCAGCTATGGTGGAACTTTAATTTTTTTTTTCCCCTCTCCAGAATTAAAGACAATATTTCTTTAGTCAATCAGCTTTGGCAAAACTGTCACGAGCAATTTTTATTCTTGGCGAATGGCACACCAATTAGTTTGGCAGAAGATATAGTGGTAATTAAATTTGAGTTAGCTGGAAGTGCATATTTGAGACAGACCTGTTGTGTCTTTGCACTGCAATCAATATATGCCACAGCTCCTATTTGCTTCTTCAGTTCTTCGCCCTGTAATCAGGAAGTTTTGGAGTTTATAGTATAATGAGAGGTAAGTCTCTGTTGCCACCACATTGTTGAACATTTCAAGTCAACACCAATTCGGTTGTTTGTCGTCAATTTCCGGTACATGAATCATGTTGTATCAGTCATTCATATTGGAATTTCTAGTTGGTTCAAGATCTTAAAATTTTCACATTCTTTGATTCTTGATCTTCCCCACATCCGAAAGGTACAGCTCACTGAAGTCTAAAGGACTACTAGCTTTACAACCAAGTAAGAATATTCATCTATCTAACTACATTACGTTTCTGTTGCCTGGACCTACTACTAAACAATTCTCTCTCTCTCAAACATGACCCGTAATTATTGATGACAGCAGCAGATTGAAAAGCATTTTGAGACGGACAACCTATGATGCAATACTATAAGATCAGAATAATCAAACTTACTCCTAAAGTGTGGGAAGGACTAATAAACTATAAGATAAATAAAGCATCCAATCTTTTTTTTAGTGTTCCAAGATTTTCACATTTCATTTGAGTAACTCCATTTGCATATACTGACTATTGTTCTAATTCTGAATTCTAGTGATGAGAGGTACAGTGATAGGGCAACTACATGTCAAAAGAGGATTGTGACCACTGGCTGTCAAGCATTCCTTGTATTGTTCATTTTTAATGTACTAAAGGATTATCTTAGAGTAGATTTAGAACATGACAAAGTACCATGACATCAGGTAGCACTGGCAGCAAATAGTTAAGGGATGATGCTCAAGGCACGCTACAGGCACAAGTACAAGATATGTACCTGTTCAGGAGAAATAGTACATGCCCCTGGATAGTCCAGCTTGAACTGCTTATCATCTCTTAAATCTGCCATTACATTCAAGTTTATGCAAACGTCAAAAGAAAATCAGACAAGATGCCTCACCAATAGTCTGCGTTTGGTAGGTAAAAGATATCTGATATCTGGAAAGACAGCTTTCTTTAATATGCGTACTAGATAGAAACAGGGGTGGCTTGGCATACATTGCTCATGCCACCAAACATCCACACCCCAGGATCCCAAATGCTTTCAAGAATCATGCCTTAAAAACTGATTACAGTCAATGAATAAAAATTATATCAGCCTGATGGCCACTTGCTTATTTGATTACTGAAATTTTATATTCAGGGAATTTTGTCCACATGTACAATAATGTGCTCATCCAACATGTATCCATAAGTTTATCTATAGCGAATCTTCTCCCAATACTAATAGTGTTGTAGACTGCTTCAATTCAAGTTCTACTCAGATAACTTGAGAGTGTAGGCAAAAGAAACAAGCATAGAAGATTATTGTTCTTTACATATTTCAAGTGCTTGGAATCTTTATATAAAGAGTACCGTTTCACTAATGCCATTAAGAAGTTATGAATGGAAGAAGTATACCTAGTTTGGTCCCCACTAAAACAATGGGCACTGATGGGGCATAATGTCTTAGCTCTGGAACCCACTTCTCCAACGAAACCAGAAGGAGAAAGCAAAAAGAAGCAGCCATCAGTAGGTAACTTCTCAAGGAATTTGCTGCTAAGGAATAGTTAAAAACTCAAGGGAAAGGAGAACCTTACTTTTTTCGAGATGTTCTCAAAGCTAGGCCTACTTATGAGAGAAAAAGCAAGGATGAAAACATCAGCCCCTCTATAACTAAGAGGCCTCAGTCTGTTATAGTCTTCTTGACCTGCAACATATGTATGAAAATGAAGGAATTCAATGATTATTCAGGACCATCCAACCACTTCCTAGCATCATTACTAATTGGGCCACCTCATTTGGTCACTGATTTGTTCATAAAAGTGCGTATTTCAGCAAGATTTATGATGGAAAAAAAAATCATCAGAGGATTCAGATGCGGGCCATTTATACTGCTGCATCCCACTTCCTGCTCAGCTCAACTATCTGAGTGTGGGCATCTTTCTTAGCTATTCCTTTATCATTATAGCTGGGGAATAATGGTGTATTCTCGAGAATGTCTTTATCCATGTATTAAGTGGTGAAATTGACAACTGAAGTCATGAAACCCACTGCATATTCTATCATCTAACATGTAAAGTCTCTCTCTGATAAAGCTTGTGCTTTACATTGTTGTCTCTGATCATCTTCTGCTTGGGGTCTCATCAGGCGGTTGAATTTTTCTAAAGCCAAAATAAGTTTATGGACATGGCGAGGCAGAATTTCTTGCTGATCATAAACACAAAAGCGACAACAAAAAGGGATCTTCTTCCAGATGTAATACATAGCAAAGCTAGATTCTGATTTCTGAAACAAAGACTAACAATTCTGAGATTCTGATTGGGTATTGCACATGTAAATTAAGAACAGGAAAAATATCAATTTAATGGTTTAACTCAGAGCCTATTCAAATTTCAAGAATTGAAATCGTAATGCAAATTAGCCATCAAAAAGTTGCCACATTCTTCCAATTTCAACATGCATATCAGTGTACTCGCTTTCCTTTAGAACCAAGAGCCATAACTCATTACAATCTA